ATGCGACACTATCCTTCGCAATTGCGAAGATGATAGGTTTCCAAAGGGTTCGCAATTGCGAACCCCTGGTCGCAATTGCGACATCTAAGACCTGTAAATGGGATTTTTGACGGGATTTCATCCATTTTTCAATCTCTTTCAAACCCTAAACTCTCTTGGGCAATTTTCCAAAGAAAGATTCTTCTCCAAATCATTAGTAAGTAATTTCTAACTTATTTCCTTCAATCTATAACATCTTTTTACATGATTTCATTTCAAAATCAAGGGTTGTTCATGGGAAATTGGGTGATTTTGGGTAGAAGTTAGGTTTTTCAAATTTTGGGGATTTGGACCTCGATTTGAGGTCTGATTTCAAAACTAATTACATATTTGAGTTCGTGAGTGAATGGGTAATCGGGTTTTGGCTCGAACTTCGAGTTTTGACCAAGCGGGCCCGGGGTCGGGTTTTGACTTTTTGGGGAAAACATTGGGAAATTCATGTTCATGCATTAGAATTGGTTTAATTAGCATTTATTGATGTATTTGAATTAATTATGGCTAGATACGAGTGAATTGGTGGTGGAATCGAGAGGTAAAGAGGTGGTTGAGTGTTGAATAGCCCGTTGGCTTGAGGTAAGTATTTGGTCTAACCTTGACATGAGGGAATAGGAGTTCCCGACTTATGTGCTAAATGAAATATCATGTGTGCGGCGTATAAGTATGGTGACGAGTACCTATGCGCCACCAAATTCCATTTTTAGTGTGCTTTCCCTTCCCCGTTTTCTATTATACTATTTCTCGTCCTATTGGTTACCTGCTTAAACTGTTTCCATGCCTTAACTACTATTTGATCATAAATGTCCCCATGCCTTAATTACTACTTGATCATAAATGCTTACGTGCCTTAATTGCTACTTGATCACACATGTTCCATGCCTAATTGCTCATGTTAATTGTTGTTCTCTTCATTGAATTATTTAGTTGTTACATGTTAGTTGTTAATGTTTCCGTTGAGGTATTATTGGTTCCATAGCTTCATTTTATTATCCCGTTGGTTTATAATGATTCATTGGTGCCTTATGGTACATGTTGGTTGGTCTCACTGATTTGGTTTCATGAGTGAAGTTTGTAATCGTGGCGAAATTCCATTGTGTAGATGAAGTATAAGAATTGTGGAAATTGAGTTAACTTTGAAACATCTCGTGTTTATTCTTTGTGATTGGTGTTGATATATACATATGTTGGGATCGGGTTTCACACCACAACAGGAGGAATAAGGGAGATTTGTGATTGTCTGGTGGGATCGGGTTGCACACCGCAACAAGGTGGAATGGTGGGATCGGGTTGCGCGCCGCAACAAGGAGGAATAAGGGAGAATATTGATAGTGTTATTGTTGGAGATATTGATATTGTTATTGTGTATATGTTGGGATTGGTATGCGCACTGCATCAGTTATTGTTTGGGCATTTATTTCTGTCGAAGTTATCATTGAGGTGTTGAAATTCCCTAAGGACTGGTTATAGCTGAATACTAGTAGATTGGCTGAGTCCTGTGTTCCTTTAATGCAAATTCCGGTTATTTTTCTTTCGGTACTTCTTTTTATGTTATTATAAACTGCTGCAGGCTATATATTATCATGCCCCGTTGTAACCTCGTCACTACTTCGTCGAGGTTAGGCTCGGCACTTACCAGTACATGGGCTCGGTTGTAGTGATGCTACACTCTGCACTTCTTGTGCAGATCCCAGTGCTGGACCGTACGGACCGTAGATCGAGGTTGCTGCCTTCAGTCCAGTGGAGACCCTAGGTAGTCCTGCATGCGTCCGCAGGCCTTGGCGTCCCCTTCTATCTTGCTTTTATTCTGTTTTATCTACTTCTGAGACAGATTTATATTCTTCTTGTTCAGACCACTATTTGTAGTATTCGTAGACAGTCCGTGAAATTGTGACACCAGTTCTGGGTGGAGTGTTATCATGGATTTCGTATTAGTGCTAAATTAAGCTGTTAAATTCTATTCTTCCACATTTTGATTTTCCGCTGTTTTTCTTATATTGTTTGGTAGACTGTTAAAGATAAAGGAAAAAGGCAAAATAATCAGTAACGTTGGCTTGCCTAGCGGGTTCAATGTTAGGCGCCATCACAGTCCCGACGGTGGGAAATTCGGATCGTGATAGTTAGTTTTTCTAACATGAGGGAGAGACATGATAAACACAGTTGAGAAAAAGTTACGTGAAAAGAATTATCATTTGTTCATTTAGATCCTCGAATAAAACAATATGAACTTGAAGTTCATAAAAAGATAATTCATTTGCAATATATTGCAAAGCATGCCAGATGCATTTGCTGACCCAAAGAAAGTAACTATATTCTCATTGCAAATGCTCCTATTAAGTCCTAGAAGGACAAAGTCTATGGTACGCTTAAAGCGTATCGACAAACCGATTTTAAATAAACTTCTTGATAAAGAAGATGAGCAAATGATCATAATAAGGCAAGTGATCTAAAAGATCACATGACATAACAGTTCATAAAATCTCAGGAGAGATTCAGGTATCTGAATATATGTATGAAGAGGTCTCTATTTTATGTCTATAAAAAAATAAGGAGGTTGGAACCGATATAAAATGTTTGTCGACGACATCTATGATAACGCTAAATATATATATATATATATATATATATATATATATATATATATATATATATATATATATATGAGGATCTTAAGTCTAGAGAAACAATTCCGAATAGAATTGGTTTCATATTAAATACAGGTAGTTTTGAACATGTAGTTCAAATACTTGAATGTATAAAGTCAATGGTATGTGCAATCAGTTTTCAATATCTTACTTGTCTAGCATGATATGAAACTTGATATGCATCTAATTAAAGTCTATTATATGACTTAACTTATATGACAATCCTTGAAGGATTTAAATCGCTTGAAGCATATACAATTCTTGATCCTGAAGTACCATATCCTAAGTGCAATTTATGCACATATGTATATTGCTATAACTATACACATGATAATGTGATAGCGAGAATTTTTACCTCTATGGAGATATTGAAAAGGTCATTCCACGACATTATATGAAGACATTACATATCTATCGAGAAGGATTATTTCAAGGTGCAACATATTCATTGGAGTTAATATGGCTGATTTGTTTATCAAATCTCTACCAACAATCTTTTGAAGATGGTGCACAAGGTTAGCATGCGAAGGCTCAAAGATGTGAATTAATGCTCTCATCAGGGGAATTTAATACGAATTGTACTTTATTTCCGTTACAAGGTTTTGTCCCACTGGATTTTCCTTGCAAGGTTTTTAACGAAGCAACCAAAAGGCGTATTGTTAGATATGTTTGCTCTTTTTCCTTCTCTAGAATTTTTTTTCCCACTGGGTTTTATTTAGTTAAGGTTTTAACGAGGCACATTATATGTTGAATAGACATTCAAGGGGGAGTGTTATAAATAGAATTCTATTTAATGTGAATGTCTATATTTTAGAGAGATTTTAGGGTTTGTTACTTGGTGGCTAAGTCACTTTTCCCCTATAAATAGAGGAGTTCTATTCCATTGTAATTTATCCCAAATCAATAAGAATTCTCTCTCTACTTTTCTCTGTAATACTCTTCTTCTTTTATTGTTTTATAACAGTTTCTATATTTTTAAATGACAATATATTTGAAGACCATACTCAAATAGATTTTTGTGTCATTTGTGCTTCATTTTTCTTTTATGTCCAAAAATTATAGAAATAAAGAAATTATTCATGAAAATTAGGAAATCAAGCACATTAAAGTGACCTAATTTTAGATTGAGGGTAAATATCATTTAGCTTCTTATTTCTTGACCCATGTTTAAATGTAGCTTCTGATTTTTGTCAATCGTTTGGACACAGATATAGCCCAAATTTTCACAGAAACAGACGCACTGAAAATTTTCACACACATATATATAGGCATAGTGGAACTTTTCCAGACACATAATAATCCGATTTAGATGCAGTGGGTCGATCCATCACTGCATAAATGTATAATCAAGATAATAAAAAAAGAGGGGGAAAAATACTAACCAAAAAAAAAATATATATCTTGCCATGAATATTAATAATAAAAAGACCCATTTATTTTGCTTCTTTTGTTTTTTAATCCACCACCACAGTCAGGGATGTTCATAAAAACCCGAAAAACCGAACCAAACCGAAAACCAAACCAAATTGACCAAAAAAATCGATACTTTTTGGTTTGGTTTGGTTTTGGTTTTGAATTTTAAAAACCGATCAAATTTGGTTTGGTTTTGGTTTTAATCAGAAAAAAACCGAACCAAACCGACTATAGGAGTAGTTATTTCAAATTTATTATTACACCTATAAATATGTATATTGTTATACAAAGTTTCAAAAAATTTATGGTAAATGTTAATAGTTTGCACTTTTAATATAGTTCTTTACCTTTACATTCTAGTTTGATTGGTAGTTTTTTTTTGTTTAGTGTAAGAATTCATTTCGTGTTAAAAATAACATATTTTTAATTGAGTCCTTAAATTATTCATCACTATTTGATTCAATTATCATCAATATATCTTGGTAAATAATAGATTTCTCAAAGTGCGATTGATTTGATAGTGTTACATTGAAAATATGATCGCCGGAATATGTGTTTGGTAGTGTATGTCTTATATTTAAGAAAAAACCGACAAATAACCTAAAAAACCGACATAAACCGAATCGAGAAAAACCGACTTAATTGGTTTGGTTTGGTTCTAATATTTGAAAAACCGACTTACTTGGTTTGGTTGCTTTTTAGGGAAAAATCGATCCAAACCGAACCATGAACACCCCTAACCACAGTGTGTTGAGAAAATGGTACAGAATATAAGAAGAAATTAAAGTAATTCAAAGCAGAACATATGAAACTTTATATTTACTGTTCAAAGTGACTCTCTAAACCAGCTAGGAATATCATATGAACAAAAAACCAAAGAGAATAATACAAACTTTCTCATTCCACAACTCAAGACTTTATAATATCATTTTCATCTTCTCTGTTACTTGTACTCTTCCTCCCAGAACTTTGCCTGAAAATCCATTTCCACACTTTGTTTCCTTTGCCACTTCTTTTAATCCCTCTATCATATTCATTCACTGACATTCTACATGAACCACTGTGTGTAAAAACACCATTCCCACCTCTCAAATTACCAATAGAATGAACAAATCCATAGCCATTATCTGAACCATTACTTAGCCTCATACCAGCAGGAAAATCTTGTTTAGACTCTGATGATAAATCCAATTTTAAATCAATAAAAGCTGAATCATCCAAATCACTTTCTTTAACTGGAAATATACTTCTATTTTGAACAACACTATCTAATGTACCCTTAAATCCACTTTTTCTTGGTTCATCAGAATCCATTAATATACCGCCAGTAACATCAGATATTTTAGCACTTGAAAATCTGTAATCACTGCTTTCATCTGTATCATTAAATCCACCACCTCTTAAACTACACACTGATCTTGATCTTGAAACTGCTAAAGCATCAGAAACCCAAATTTCACTGCTCTCATCCAACTCATTATTACCATTTTCACAACCTTTTTTCTTTTTCTTCCTAAATAGCCTCTTAATTTTCCAAAATCCATTGCTGTTTTTCTTGATCTCTACACAACTGCTGCTGCTTCTCCTTAAAAGAATGACTTGTTCTGTTTTTTCCCTTTTGGTGGTTTGTTTCTTTGGTTGTAATTGTTGTGGGAGTTGATCAGTTTTGTCATTTTCCAATAAAAATGAAATCCTACCAACACTACCAACTTCAGCAGTGCATGATTTTCGATTATTATTATTTGAAGAAGAGGAATGATCAGAGCAAGAACAAGAAGAGAGTCTTTGCTCACCACATTCTGAGCAAACTAAGTTAACTAATTTTTCTTTAAGGCAAAAAGCACATATTCCAACAGAAGAAGAAGAAGGGTGTTTCTTACATGGCATATCTGATGAAACAGAATAGTTGAAATCTGAGAAACTATCATCAGTTTCAACAGCAGCTTTGCCTCTCTCTTTCATGGTTCTGAATTCTTGATTTTGCTATGAAAATATTGGCTTTCTTTAAAAAGAGAGGAAAAAAAAGTGACAGATAATATGTTTGAGGTATAGGAAATTGAAATGAAGTATAAAGTGTAGGTTTTTTTAGGTTGTAATATGACTTTTTAGAGCACTGAAAGAGGAATTAAAGGATGAAGACGTCCACTTTACGTTATCTTTTTCAAGAAACAGTAGTTATTGCAAAAGGGGAAGAGTGATGGAAAATAAAAGACTTTGTCCACTGCAAGGTATCATTGTGTAGGGAAAGAAAGTGAATCAAGACATTAATAAATTGAGTGAAGGAATGTACCAGGCTGTCTGGTAAATTCTTTTTATTATTATCATCTAAACTACTACTCCCTCCGAAAAGAATAACATATTTTTATAATTAAAAATAATTTAACTTTAAATTTTTAATTTTATCTATTTTATTCTTAATAAAAAAATTTTATAATCACATAAATATCATGATCCTACAAAATTTGTAGCCCTTAAACTTTTAAGACCACAAGTTTCAAAAATCTTCTTAAACTCCATGTCAAGTCAAACTACCTCGTCTAAATTGAAACGGAGAGAGTATATCTTTGCTTAAAATATTTATTAGGAAATACTTTCTCATTTAGTTAATTCCATTCAATGTTTAGTAGCATGCTCTGTTTTTCACTCAATATCTAGTTTTCTTGTTGCAGCAAAGTACTCCGTTCGTTCTATTTTATGTAATTATGTTTGATTAATCATGAAATTTAAGAAATAGATAAATATATTTTAAATTTGTAGTCTTAATTATATTACTATAATATTTGTGTGATTATAAAAAATTTGAAACTTTTCCTCTTAAATATGTCGAAACATTTGTGAATATAAAAGCTTGTCATTAAAAAAAAGTTAAATAAATTAAATTATTTTCATTTAGAAATAAGTCATTGTTTTTATAACCGACTAGAAAATATAGCCACAATAACTGAAAATTAGTCATAATAGTCAAATCTCTCTATAATAACCTCGTTTGTTCAGGTATTTTTTGGCTGCTATAGTGAAGTGTTGTTATAGATGATATATATTATAATATAATGCTCCCTCTGTTCCAGTTTATGTAACTTATTCCCTTTTTGGTCCGCTCCAAAAAGAATGACCTTTCTAAATTTGGAAACAATTTAACTTAAACTTCTAATTCTACCATTAATGAGAAGCTTTTATAACAACACAAATACTCTGGACCCCTTTTTGACTTGTTTAGGACCACAACTTCCAAAAGTCTTTATTTTTTCTTAAGTTCCGTGCCCAGTCAAATAGGTTCACATAAATTAAAATAGAGAGAATATAAAACTCGATTCCGATAAAAATTTGACTTTATACCGAATTACTACTATTATATAGTGATGATGTCGTATAGGTCTAGCTGTACTTGATTATTAAGTAGAGTCAACGATGTTAAGTTAAATGCTTGAACCCTTTACATAGCCCTAATTTTCAAAGAAAAGTGGTATCGCAACTCAAAAAGGATTTCGACAATGTAATGGAGTAATTGTGCATCATGTCAATAGCCTTTTCTTTGTTTCATCACATCTTCTGTAAAAGGAATAGTGTAAAAGTTAAGATTTGGGATGAGGTAGGGGAGGGATTGCATCAATCAATCTATCATAGAGGTCATGCATGCCGATTTCCCTATTACCAAACTTTTGTGCAAGAATTTTTTACCTCTTATTTCTACGCTTGTGTGAAGTAATAAAATCTTCACGGCGGATCTTTATATGGTTGGGACAATTCTCACAACTTGATTTAGCTTTTGGGGTTAAGTTGGACTCAAAATCCATTCTTATCATGGTATAAGAGCCATGTCTCAAAGTTGGCGCTAGGATAGATTATTCACTCTCCAGATGACAGGTCCGGCATACGGGAGGGTGATAAAATCCCACATGGAAGATAGACTGGGCTCTTTATAGTGAAAATAGCATGAGGTAGCTAGTTTTCGGACTGATAATTAAAAAAATAGTCAGCGTTTACAAAATCAGTAAAAAATAGTCACTATTTTATACGAAGATAAAATCTGGATAAAAATAACCTAGCTAAAACACGAAAAGTTCTAGCATAATATGCTGGATTATGGAGCTCATGCGTGTAAAGTTTCAGCATATTATGTTGGAAATCCAGCACATTATAAAACTCCAGAACATTATGTTGGAATCTCATATGTAGAAAAAATTAAATTCCAACATATTGTGTTGGAACTTTTTCGGATTCATAAGGGTGTTTTTGTTCAGATTTAATCTATACATGAAAAAATAGCTAAATTTCGATTATTTTTATAACTGTGACCATTTTTTGTTGGGCTTTTTGAATACACAGCCTCAGCCCAAAGCAGAAAACATAAGTCAGGCCCAGTTATTATGTATAGTTAGCAATAGCCATTACAACACTTAGCCAATTTATTTTGTAGCCATTGTATGTAATGTGTACTCAATTTGTAAGACCTCTAGACCGGATTACCGGGTTGATATAAATACATAAGGGCCCAGATGTATTAGGGGTCGTGCACTATTCAGTCATTTCTTTCTATTCTCTATGTTACTATCTGATGAGAAAGATCTAGAAGCCCTAAGCATCCATTAACTACTTCTTCCATTGTTACTCGATTCTTTCACTATTGACATGGTATCAGAGCAGTGAATCCGTTAGTCCTCATCTTTCTCTATCGACTGGTGTTATCCCATCGTTTTCTACCAAGTTTTGATTTTCATCGAGGATTCGTGATTTCTCTGATTTTCGGTAGAAGATTCATATCTGTGGCTTTGCTTTCTCCTTCTGTCATCGGTAGTGCAGTGGTGCTGGTCTGATTTGAGATTTTCTGGTGTTCATCAGAGTTTTATATGTTCTCCTTCGAACTAGGGTTTTGCTGTAGTTAATCGGAGTTTCGTCGGAGATATTGCTCTCATGTCCAGGCCTTTACTTCTCCAGGTCCCGAAGAAGGCTGGTATACCTATTCCTTATCTATGTTGTTGTACCTGAACTATTCATCATATTCTGTGGTTCTAGGTGTTGAGAATAACTGTCAATTGTTTGCAGGGTAAAATTCTCCTTTGAATTGTTGTGCAACTACATTTGCTACCATGACTGGTCCTATTGATTCTTCTACTGGTGTTAGTGGATCCTCTAAGTATACTCCAGATCCCTCCTCCCCTCTATTTTTTCTCTCTTCCGATGTTCCCGGAGTGTTTGTATCTGTTCCGTTTTCAGGAACTGGTTTTGGAGGTTGGAGACATAGTATGATAGTATCCTTGTCTGCTAGAAACAAAATAGGGTTCATTGATGGGTCTTGTGTTAAGCCTGGTTTAACTTTATCTGAGTATAGACAGTGGGATAGATGCAATAATATGGTTATATCGTGGATGGCTAGTTCATTGTCTCCGGACATAGTTGAAAGTGTCCAATATTCTGAGACAGCTGAAAGTATTTGGAAACAATTGAATAGTAGATATGGTAGTGTAAATAGGACCAAAGTATTTGAATTAAAGAGAGAGCTTCTACTTATCAAGGCTCTCTAGACATTGCTTCATACTTTAACAAATTTAAGAAAATACAGGATGAATTGGGGATAATGTGCAGTAGTCATGCAAACTCATGCATTTGTGCTACTAAAGAGGGTCTTCAAAAGGAGAAAGAAAAGGACAAAGTTCATCAATTTCTTATGGGACTTAATGAAGTATACGTAGGTGTTAGAAGCAATCTGTTGATGATGCAACCCTTACCATCTCTGGATGATGTTTACAACATTCTTCTCCAAGATGAAAATCAGAGGCAAATTAGTCCAACTCTTCTATTTGCTTATGAGTCAGCTTCATTTAATGTCAATTCTGGTACAGATAAGTTTTTTTAGCCTCAACCTAATATTCAATTTCAGGGACGGCAAAGACAGTTCAATCAAAGAGTAAATTTTGATCAATCTAAAGCTAGTACCTTTTGCAAATATTGTAAAAAACCTGGGCACTCAATTGATAAGTGTTACAAACTTAATGGGTTTTCTCCCAACTTCAAGTTTATCAAAGGAAGAAAAACAGCTGCAAATGTGGTCATAGATTCTGATTCTTCTGCTCCTGAGCATCTTACTCTCAATCAGACACCTCTTCATGTTGCTGCAACTACTAATCATGGTTCTATAGTACCTGGTCTCACAAAACAGCAGTACTCTCAGCTGATCTCACTGCTCCAGCAAACTAATGTCTCTGATTGTGGGCCTTAACTCAACATCATCAGTTCTGCCAATTTTGCTAGTACACTACCGCCTAAGAATGTAGTTTATACTTTCAATTCTACTTTGCTGAGTAAATCAGATTCTCTGACTTGGATAATTGATTCTGGTGCATCCGATCATATGACTTCTAATAAAGACTTCCTTATTATCATTACTCCACTACCTGTTCCCTTTCTTGTCTCTCTTCCAAATGGTTATAAAGTTAAGGTTACCTGCACTGGTTCTTTTGTCTTGACTGAATCTATCATTCTTCAAAATGTTCTTTACCTTCCTTCTTTTAAGCATAATCTAATTCCGTACATAAGATTACAGAATAATTTGATTGCATAGTTCAGTTTACCAGACTTTCATGCATCATACAGGGCCCTTCTTTGAAGAAGCCTCTGGATCTTGGTAAACTGGACACTGGACTGTACAAGTTTGTGTGGGAGAAACCTTTCCAAAATCAGACTACTTTGTCAAATGTCTACAGCAGGTTGTCATCCATGTGTGATTCTAGTTCTTTTCCTTGTTCTGTACATACTGTCTCTTCCACCTGTAATAAAGCTGCTATGAATAACAATGATATTTTTTGGCATCATAGGCTTGCTCATGTTCCTTTTGCTAAGATGAACATTATCCCTGAAATATCTTTTGTTATTTCATCTACACAGTCTTTTCCATGCACTATTTGCCCAATGGCTAGGAAAACTAGGCTACCATTTCCCGATAGTTCTATTCATAGTTCTAAACCTTTTGAACTTATCCATGTTGACACTTGGGGGCCATATCACACTCCTACCTATTCCGGTTCTAAATACTTTCTTACCATTGTGGATGATTTTTCTAGAAGTACATGGACCCATTTAATGGGGTCTAAGAGTAATGCTTTTTCCCTTTTGATAGCTTTCATTACAATGGTTAAAATCAATTTTATGTTACCATCAAGAAATAAGATCTGATAATGCTTTAGAACTGTGGGCTAGTAATGCTGAAATTGCTTTTTTTTTCTAACCAGGGGATTGTTCATCAAACTAGTTGTCCCCACACACCTCAACAAAATGGTGTGGTAGAACGAAAATATAGAACCTTGCTTGAAGCATCTCGAGCCTTACTTTTTCAATCAAAGGTTCCAATAAGGTTCTAGGGTGACTGCTTAGTTACAGCCACTTACATTATAAACAGACTTCCCTCTCCATTACTTCACAACAAATCCCCCTATGAGTTGTTGTTTGGCAAGGCACCAAGTTACTCTCATTTGAGGACTTTTGGATGTCTTTGTTATGCTATTGTCCCAATTCCACATAGAGATAAACTAAAGCCTAGAGCCATGCTTTGTGTCTTCCTTGGCTATCCTTTTGCAAAGAAGGGTAATAAATTGTACAACTTGCAGTCTCGATAATGCTTTGTTTCCAGAGATGTTCTCTTCCATGAACATCATTTTCTTTATTCCCCTGACTTTCATTTTCCAGAAATCATGGAACCAACAACTTCCAAGCTTCCAGTTACTCCCGATCGTCCCTTTTCCCTTGATGATTCTCCTTCCGTTCCTTCATTTGTCATTTCTACTGATAATTCTCCTCTCTTTAGTCAAGTTGTGTCCCATTCTTCTCCTCTTCCGGTTTCATCTTCTCCTACTCAACCTGTTAATTCCAATTCCTTACTTGATTGTTCCCCTCCTTCCCTTTCCTCTTCTTTTAGTCCTGACACTGTTACTCCTTCCTCATCAACTCATTTCTCTTCCATAACTCCCAGAAAATCTGAAGACTTCATACCCAACCTTCTTATTTGAAGGATTACATATGTCAACTTCCTACTTCCTTTTCTGGTTCTATTAATTAGTAAGTGGACTTTGAACCTTATACTTATTCTCAAGCAGCCCCTATTCCATCCTGGCAGGATGCCATGACTAGAGACTTTGAAGCTCTATAATCCAATAATACTTGGGACATCGTTGAACTCCCTAAGGAAAAGAAACCTATTGGTTGCAAATGGGTCTATAAAATCAAACATAAGGCTAATGGTGAAGTAGAAAGATATAAGGCTAGGCTTGTGATTAGGGGGACACACAAGTTGAAGGGATGGATTTCAATGAGACCTTTTCTCCCATGGTGAAGCTTTCCACTATTAAGTGCCTAATTGCAGTGGTTGTTAAAAAGAATTGGCCCTTGTTTCAACTTGATGCTAACAATGATTTCCTTCATGGTGATTTAGATGAAGAAGTTTATATGAAGTTACCTCCTAGTCTCTCTGTCTCTTCTTCCCCTTCTATTCATTTGGTTTGCAAGTTGAAGAAGTCTCTTTATGGGTTGAGACAAGCTTTGTCTCAAGCTCTTTATTCTAAGGAATATCATCATTCTCTTAATGACTACTCCTTGTTTATCAAGGGGTCTCCTAGTCATTTGGTGATCTTAGCAGTCTACGTTGATGATATTATTCTTATAGGTGATGATTTGAATGAAATATCAGACTTGAAACAATTTCTGGACAATGAGTTTAAAATCAAAGATTTAGGTTCTTTGCATTACTTTTTAGGCATTGAAGTTTCTGCTTTGCCTAATGGTCTTCTCTTGAATCAAAAGAAGTTTGTCACTGATCTTCTAACGGAATATGACTGTTTGGAAGCTAGTTCTGTTGTCAGTCCTTTGGAGTTAAATAAAAAACTCAAGGCTAATGTTGCTGATCCTTTACCAAATCCTGAAAGGTATAGAAGTCTTGTTGGGAAGTTACTGTTTCTCACCCATACTCGTCCAGACATTTTTTTGGGGTTCAACATTTGAGCCAATTCTTACAAACCCCAAGGATTTCTCATATTCTTGTTGTTCTCCACCTTCTCAGGTATCTCAAGGGCACTGTTGATATTGGTCTCTTTTATTCTAACTCTGTTAATTTGTCTGTGAAAGCTTACTTTGACAGTGATTGGGCTGCATGTCCCGACACTCGTAAGTCTGTCACCGGTTTCTGCATTTTCCTAGGTGACAGTCTTATTGCATGGAAGTCTAAGAAGCAACCTGTGGTTTCCTTATCCTCCACTGAAGCTGAATATCGGGCACTGCGTAAGGTCGTGGCAAAGTTAGCATGGTTATCCAGATTATTGGTTGATCTTACTGTATGTGTTTCTTCTCCCATTTTTGTGTTTTGTGACAATATGGCAGCGATTCATATTGCTAGAAATCTGGTATTCTATGAGCGTACCAAAGACATCAAGGTCAGCTGTCATTTCATTTGCACCAAGTTAAGTGAAGGGTTGATCCAGCTGTTTCATGTCTCCACTACCAATCAACTTGCCGATCTGTTTACTAAATCCTTGCCCAGGGTCTGTCACGACCCTCAACCCAGACCCGGTCGTGATGGTGCCTCTCGTGAAGACAAGGCCAGCCGACACATTTCCAATTCGAAGTTAAATAGCTAAACAACAATAAAACAGGCTAAAACATGATTTAATAACGCTAAACAGCGAATAATATCATAACAATACGGAAGTACAATCCAAACACAGCCCAAACCGAGGTGTCACTAGTCAAGAGCATCTACTAAGTCTAAATACAACTGACAAGGTACGAAATGTACTCAGTACAGTCTAATAGAATGAAGAGAGGGAAAACAGTGCTGCGAACGCCGGCAGCTACCTTGCTAACTCCACTGACAACTGCTACCAAGCTCAGAAAATACCTGAATCTGCACACAAGGTGCAGGGAGTAAAGTGAGTACTCCAACTCAGTGAGTAATAATCATAAATAAAGACTGAGTGATAAAAAATCACGAATAGAGCATCAACATGCTATATAGAAGCAGTTTCAAAACCAGTAAGAGAAGCAATGAAGCTGTAAAATCCTTTAAAACATCTTAGCTCAGTTTAAACCCTTTTGAAAATACCTTTTTCAACAGTTACGCAAATGAATGCAGAACAACTAGTGCAGATAAGAGCAGAAATCTGCCCCTAAGGCACAAATACACAATTAAGCAAGTAAATGACAGGCAAATAAGAAAGATAAGCACATAAGGTTCACCCCTCGGGCACAATGTCAACAACTCCGCCCCTCGGGCAATATCTCAGAACGGTACCAGCCCCTCGGGCAATCACATAGAACAAAACCAGCCCCTCGGGCTATATCACACATCACACTGGGTACCCGCGCTCACTGGGGGTGTGCAGACTCCTGGAAGGGCCCCTTTCGGCCCAAGCGCAATATCAAGCCATCTCGTGGCATCATAAACAGGTCCTCGACCTCATATCAATATCAAGCCACCTCGTGGTGTACAATCTCAGGCCCTCGGCCTCATAATCAAATCAGTGTATCACTGCTGCGGCGCGTATCCCGATCCCAGAGATATGTATCACCGCTGCGGTGTGCAGCCCGATCCCAAAGATATCCTCACAATACAGGCCCTCGGCCTTACTCAGTCAAAAATCACATAAGCCTCTCGGGCAACAGTAAAACAGTATTTCTCAGCCCAAAACATCATTTAAATATTATTTGAGTATTAAACAGAGTATACATGGCTGAGTTTTGAAAACAATGGATATAACATGACTGAGTTCAAGTATAAAGTCAAAACAGTGACGAAACATCAACAACAATCCCCGAAGGGTTCAAATAATTGGCACGGAGCCCAAATATGCCATTCAGCCCGAATAATGATGATGGCAAATAGATTTCAATCAAATACGCGGTAAAATCATCAATCGGGACGGACCAAGTCACAATCCCCAATAGTGCACGACCCCACGCTCGTCATTAAGCGTGTGCCTCACCTCAATATAGCACTACGATGTGCAAATCCGGGGTTTCAAACCCTCAGAACATCATTTACAACACTTAATCACCTCGAACCGGCTACATCTCTAGCTCGCGATGCCTTTGCCCCTCGAATCGGCCTCCACGCGCGTCGAATCTATCTAAAATCAGAACGAGGACGTCAAAATATGCCAAGGGAACAAAGCCCAAGCGAAAACAATCAATAACGGGCACTAATCCCGAAATTAGCAAAACCCGAGCCCCGGGCCCACTTCTCGAAACTTAGAAACTTTCACATCAATAGAATCCTTATCCTTATACGAGTTCATACGTATCAAGAACATCAAATTCCGGCCACAAATGACCCTTCGAATCCCAAATCAAAAGTCCAATTTCTCAAGCCCTAGTTCTTCAAATTTTGGCTTGGTTTTTATGATTTTCTAGGTGGAATTCAAATAATAATCGAGTTTTAAGTCCAAAAATCTTACCACAAGTCGTTTCTGTGAGCATGTGATTTTTGCCTTGCACGAATTACTCCTACAGATTTCTTAGGTTTAGGATTTTTTCTTTTAATTGTTTAATTTGTAGGAATTAATTGCACAATTTTCGTGTTTATTTGCATTTTTACTGTGTGCATTTTTATTTAACATAGTTCATAAAAAATACAAAAAAATTCGCATTGCATTTGCATTTAGGATTTAATCTTATATATTTTAGATTAATTAGTAATTAGGATTTCACAAAAAATATAAAAATCACAAAAAATGAGTTATTTTTGCTTTGTTTAATTTTTAGCTTTGATTTTGGTTAGATTTCCTTTAAATTTGGTATTTAATCAATTGTGTCAATTATTAAATAAATTGGGTAGGTTAATTTAGTTTTTAGAATTAATTTAGACTTTTAAGCTTTAATTTGAAAAGAAAAAGAAAACAAAATCAAAAGAAAATTGAGTCTCTTATTTTGAAAGACCCAAATTTTGGGCCAATTTCTGATTTAACTCATCAGCCCAAACCAAATTCCCCAAAACCCAATGCTCACCGGTCAAGCCCAAATACACATTAACCCGGTCCAGCCCCCCCCCCCCCATCAACCAAACGACGTCGTTTCATCCAAAATAATCAGGACCGTCGAGGTAAGGAGATCCAACGGCCCTGAAGTGGGATATCATAAGTATAAAGCTGTCCGAACCAACCCCCCTACCCCTCAATCATCTCTCATACCACCCCTGTTATTTTCGGCGTAACGCCGCCTAGAACCACCGGCCTCCGCCCATCGGAAATCGCCTCACGGCGGTTCCGGTGGTCCAAATGACCCCACCTTCGCACCCTAGAACCCCCTTGACCTCCCCATTCCAAATCCCTGAACCTTAGCCCTCAAATCCCAGCCGGTGTCCTCGAATCTTCAATCGAAGAATTAGCCAAAACCCTAGTTTGTCTTATGGCCCTCAAATTAACACCCATGAACCACCTTTCTATTCTCTTTCCAACCCCCAAAACGATTTCCTTCGAATCATACCCAAATGGTTCGAATCTTGAATCGAAACTTTCCGGCCAAAACAGAAAGTTATCCAACTTGCACCAAATTCACACCCTACCTTCCCCTGACTCCTCTCTTCCTTAATCCCCAACCAGATTTCCTCAAATCCTCTTACATCTTCTCGAATTTCAAATCTTAGACTGGCAGAACCCTAGAAATCCGGGTCCCTTGATTTTTTCTAATTGCCTGAGTCTGGAGGTCAAGTCAAGTCTCGTAATAATGTGTTCGCCTGTTTTTGGATTAAAGAACACGCGTATACATTATTCCGGGGCTCGTGTTGGAGTTCAGTTGGTTCAACTTGCATAAGTAAGTTTTCTGTTTTGCTTCTTCTATTATTTGAATCTTATAATTAGTTTAAACTTTTGTTTAATCAATTCATGCAAGTTTCTGTAAGTTTCAGTTAATTTAGACTTGATTTAGGTCTGTTCATATTCATGTTAGGTTAGTTTAACTCGCAATAGGTCAGTTTTTAATTCATAAGTTGTCCATTGATTGATACCTGTTTATGGTCGGTCATGTTTTGATTGTTCGTTTAGTTTTTGGATTAGTTCAGGGTTAACCCTGTTTTATTGATTTTGATTGGTTAATGCAAGTGTTAGTTCTGGTTCTTTGATAATTCACTTTTATTGTTTAGTGCAATTAGTTTATTGTTAGTTGATAATTGGATAGTGGTGTGATTTAGGATTAATTTTAAGTCTCAATTAGCATTAATTGGATTCAATTTTAGAATTTTTGGAATCACTTTGGTTATAGCTGAACCTGTCAGTCCCTGTGAGTAGTTAACCATAGTTATTTGACCAAGTAAGAAGGATTGAGGTCAATTAGTATAGGTTGATAATTTCAGAATAAATAAAGGGTAGTTTAGGTACTTTAGTCAAGGAATCTTGTAGTAACTGAAATTGGAAACCCCTAGAACCTTCTAGATGGGGTTCCAATTAGAAATTCAAGAACTTAGTAACATAGCTTGGGCAATAAGTCAAAAATTTTAAGGACTAACTGGCTAAAAACAAAAGTCAGAAAAGGATTAAAGAGTAAAAATTAAAAGTTGAAGCAGCCCTAGTAACTTGCCTATAAAGGCACTGTTACTTAGAGCTGAAGGCAGAGGGGGGAGGAAGAAAAAAAAGAGGCATAAAAAAGACTGAAAAGTTTCTGCAACCCCAGGCAACGAAAACTCCAAAAATCACTATTCCATTGAAATTTTTAGGGTAGTTTGAAAGCTCTCAGTTCTGAATTAAAAATCCAGCTTATCTAAGGGTTGAAAATGGCTTGAATTTTCGGGTGTTTCTGTAATTGTGGTTTTCAGAAGGTCCTGGGGTCATTTCTGGGTTTATTTGAGTTTATCCAAGCTGGTTTTGGATTTTCACTGGTGACATTCATTTGAAATTGATTACTGGCTGCATAATGTCATTTCTGGGTTAGAAAATCATCCAAAGCTGCTGTTGATTGCTGTTGCTGACTTTTTCTCCTTCTTATTGTGATTCAAATCCCAGGTACAAGTCCTGAATCCATGACAATGTATGTCTAAATTTGAGCAATGAAACAGAAGCTTCACCTGCGTTTGTGCAAATTCGCTTGCTGCACCTGTTCTGATTCTGCATTTGTTCATAGTTAGTTTAGTTAAAATTGGAGTAATTGAGTGTTGTAATTAATTTGGACTGCTGGACTTTTAGAACTGCTTGATTGTCATTTGAGTAGCTAAATGTTTATGTGAGAAGTTGAGTGCATAGGATTAACTAGTTGTTTTTCGTTCGTAAGTACTTGTTAAATTCAAATTCAAAGGTCTTTGTATTACTCAACCATGATAGTAGGGAATTCCAGATTCATGTTAGATTACATATTAGTTTGAAATTTCATTGATCCAACAGCTTAAAAATGAAAAATAGGAAAATTAGTATTTCAGTAATTATTCCTGTTTTCAGTCATAATTAGATGCCATTGAAGTACATTAGTTGCAATCAATTAGTTGTTAAATTTCAGGTCAAGTACGTTAGATATAAATATGCCTCCGCACTGAATAATGTATGTCAAAACTGAAATTAAAGCTGATTTGCCTTCGAATTGCATAAATCTGTGTCTTTCATGTGTTTAAAAATCATTGGACCCAATTGGCTTAGAAATCAGAACTCTTAGGATTCAATTAAACCAATTTCCAGGCCTGGGTTCGTTCATGGGCCCAACATGGTGTTTTGCCATTTTGATTAAGCTTTGGGCTTAACCGTGTGCTACTAGCCCAGGCATTATTAGCCCGATGAATCAGTATATTGGATGAATTGTGGATTATCAAGGACAGCTTCGAATTCCATTTAAAAGCATTAGGATTAATTTGGTGACATAAATCTGGGTTTACAAGTTAGGTAGCGGGTTCAAATTAAGAGGTTTTCCCTTTTGTTTGAACTCGGACTTGAACTTAAGGCCCGAATTATAATATCAAATTAATTAGGCCCTTTTAGAGACAAAAAATAAATAGAAAAATCATAGTTACTTTAGGACTGGACTTTAAATAAATAAATTGAGATGAGCCTCGCCAAACGAAATGCAAAACTTGCGGGGCCCTCATTAAACGTTTTATTAAAATATTTTAGAAATTCGGGACGTGCCATTTAGCGAATTTTCATGGCCTCCCGCAAAGTTAATAAGACGTTAGCCACTCTAGGCGCGCTTTTAAATAATATCACTTTCTTAAATACGGGTGTGCATTTCATGCGACCCAGATCCAAATCCCAAAACGCTGAATAAGAGGTGTTGAGGATCAGGGTGCATTTCATGTGACGTGATCCAAAAATATGCTCTTAAACGGTGTTCACTTTCCGTAAAAAAAAAAAACTAAAAGCGGTTGAATAATTCTTAAAATTGCACTATAGGTTGGAGCATATACAAAAATTGGATTTTAGCCATTTATAATAATTTAAGCGACCATGCTAGAACCACGGGATCCGGGGGTGCTTAACACCTTCCCTCGGGTCAACAGAATTCCTTACACAGAATTTCTGGTTCGCAGACTCCAATTGGGAAGTCGAAATTTTCCTCGATTTGGGATTCAAGATAAACCGGTGACTTGGGACACCAAAAGCCAAACCTATCCCAAGTGGCGACTCTGAAAAATAAATAAATAATCCCATTTCGAATAATGTCACTTTAAATGGAAAAACTCCCTTATACATTCTCCTTCGGGGTGGGTGTGTAAAAAAGGAGGTGTGACAGTTTCCCCTTGAATCCCTCTTTAATCTCCTTCAAAAAGCTCTCAAAATGATCAACTATGGGTGAAAATAGACCCAAAATCGCGGACAAAACGACTTAAAAACATTATGCCCAGGCCTTACTTCCCTTCTTCGCGAACGCGGTCAAAGCCACGCGTTCGCGAAGCACGAACTCGCGTTGACCACATTTTTCCTCTACGCGAACGCGTGACACCCATCGCGAACGCGATATTTCCTCCACCCAAACCTTCGCGAACGCGGTAACACCTACGAGAACGCGATGCACTGCTTACCAACCTTCCACGAACGCGATGCACCTCTCGCAAACGCGAAGACTTATTTCCTGGCCTTCCTCAATCCTTCTACGCGATCGCGATACACCCTACGCGCTCGCGAAGGGCAATTTTTCTGCAACACTGAACCTGCAATTTCAACAACTTTCAAACTCCAAATATGATCCGAATGACCACCCGAAACTCACCCGAAGCCCCCGGGACCTCAACCAAAGGCACCAATACATCCTAAAACCTTATTCAAACTTGTTCCAATCATCAAAACATCTCAGACAACATCAAATCACCCAAAACACATCGGATTCAAGCCTAAGTTTCTAAAATCTTCCAAAATACGCTTTTGATCAAAAACCCAACCAAACCACATCTAAATGACCTGAAATTTCACACACACATCCCAAATGACATAACGAAGCTACTAAAACTCTCGAAATTCCATTCCGTCCCCTGGATCAAAATTTCACCTACCAACCGGAAATCGCCAAAATATCAACTTCGCCAACTCAAGCCTAATCCTTCCACGGACTTCCAAAATGCATTCCGATCACGCTCCTAAGTCCCAAATCACCTAACGGAGCTAACCAAATCATAAAATTTCCCATCCGAGATCATATACAAACAAGTCAAATCTTGGTCAAACCTTTCAAATTTCAAGTTTCAAACTAAGAACGTTTCTTCCAAATTCATTCTGATTACCCTGAAAATCAAAACCAACGGTTTACATAAGTCATAATATACATACACGGGGCAAGTCATGCCCGAGAACTGGTGAGCAAAATGCAAAAACTCAAAACGACCGGTCGGGTCGTTACATCCTCCCCCACTTAAACATACGTTCGTCCTCGAACGTGCCCAGAGTTGTTCCAGAAGCCGACCAATTGCTGAATAACCTTACCATGCACATACTCGGGGGTGATTCCACGTCACCCTATCTCATATAGGTCCGATAACACATATAAACCGAAATTCCACAATCCAATCTAGCCCATAAACCATAGAACCACATTTCAACTTCCGAAATCATCAATACAATCAGAATTTCACATTTATACTCTGAATAAGCCCGAACAAGCTGCAATAACCCATACCTGCTAACTCAGGTGCAATCACATGATATACCACATAACTCAACACTCGTAGCGATAATTTCTAATCACAGCAGCTGCACAGAACAACCAAATACCGGTAGAAATCTCTTATCCACTAAAGTCTCATTCCAACACTTTCATATACTGCCAATGATAAATAAAACACACAGTAAGCCATAACCATTTCTTAGATCAACCATTCGTAAAGCCACTTCTCCTTTAGCAAGGACCATAGCAAATTTCTGAGCCGAACATCCATATTATCCCTCCAACACGCTGAAACCAAATCCGTTTGTATTCATTCTAGATCCCGACAATCTCATCTAATTCCAATACAACAACTCTAGTGACATGACACCTCAATGCAGACTAACGTCGTAACTTGCGCAATCCGCGCACCACTAAGAAACAATCCGAACATACTCAATTCATGATAATGACTCAAATAAAAGAGTTGTATCTCAAGCTCACCGGTACCACCACAACACAAAGCTGAGAACCCGTCTCACATCGTAGAAATAGAGCACACGAATCTAACCCGCAAGGTCATATCTCCATATAACTTCGTTGTAATGTGTGATCCTATCCAAATACTGCTCCACATGAAACACCTCAAGTCACTCTGCTCGAAATTGACGACCACGCGCAATTGATGTCTAGAACCAAAGCTAATCATCATGACCACAGTGAAGCAATTACATAACACTACTCAACCCAAAAGGATATAACCAATACGCCATCCGCCGAGCAATATCCAATACTCTTTCCCGCTCGACTTCCACTAAGAAACCTCAATAGAACCGCACCATATATGCCTATAACCAACAAGTCACAACACCTTGCAACGCAGAAAGATAACTCATAGACCTCCCCAGATTACTAATAAGCTTAATAACAATCGAATCAACACATCCCTCCACAATACAATCCGGAGCCAACCAAGCCGACTCAAGTTAGAACACGCATCCACATTGGCCTGCCAACGAACTCCTTATCAAGGAAATCCTGAAGCTGCTCCTTCAACTCCTTTAACTCTGCCGGTGCCCGGCATCAAATCAATACTGAAATCAACAACCTTGCCTGGCGACATGCCCGGTCACAAGAAACACATCCGAAAAATCCCTCACCACCAGAACTGAATCAATATGAGGAGCCTCTGCGTTGACATCCATCGCGAGAGCCCAAAATAAGAAAAACAATCCTTCCCAGCCATCCGATGGGCCTTCGGAATATAAAACCCCTCTACTAAGGACATAATCCGTCGAACCTCGCCACTCGGTCTGTGGCATACCCGGCATAACCAACATCGCCGCCTTAGCGCAATAGCTCCGAATGATACAACACTGAGACAACCAGTCCATACCGAATATCACCTCCAAAATCTAACATACCAAGCAGCAAAAGATCCCCTAGGGTCTCCAAACCCCGATAGTCACTGAACAGTGCCGATACACACGACCCACAACCACAACATAGCCTGAATATGAGAACTCCCAGTCTCCAACTCCATATTACACACGAATCACATATCCGATTCCAATTCCACCGTCCGAGCACATACCACATCTCTAATATCCAGTCACTACACGAGAGCTACTCTAACATTCTTCTGTGCCTCCAAGCAAACTCGAATATCAGCAGTCGATCTAACAAGAAAGTGCCGCAATACCACCGAAGTACCATCAACTTAATCACATTGCCTTTTTCTGAAATATATACCCTCGTCAAATTACCTCCAACTAGCAATACCATTTCCTTAATCATCTGAAGGTCTCTCTCCAATCATCTGAAACCGCCCGTGCT